CGGAGCAAATCCATCTGGCGGAGTCAGGTTAGCCCCTTTACAGGAGAGCGGAGGACCTCGCCTCTTCAGCCAGGCCAACAATTCCCTCTAACGACCCCCCTTTCCAGAGACATAGACAGGTATGGGGCATTGCAGGCTAACAAAACAACCCAAACGACCCCCATGCCAAAGGGGCGGACCCCTTCGTCTGTTTCAATTTGCATATTTTCTAAATAAAAACAAGGTTTTTATTTAAGCCTGGAACTCGACGCTATTTCTGACATTTTGAATTGAAAAAGCTTCCTGGATGGAAGAGAAACATCTTCAAACTTGGAAACAAAGTCCAGTGGAATATTTTTAATTTTCTTTTTTTTTGGAATAACTTTGATCCGGATGACTGAGAATCTTCACCAGCAACTTTCTGAAGGACAGGTGAGGACAGTCCCCAACGATAATTTCTGCTTTTCTCCACTTTCTGCTCAAAGGTAACAGAGGCTGGGTGAAGCCATCTGTATTCACAGCGTTTAGAGTCCGTGTGTCGCTTTGAGACATCCGATTTGCGGTCGCATTTCAATGCTTGCAGCGTAGCTACGTGGAGCAGGAGAGAAACACAGCAGTGCTCAGTGAATATTAACCAGCAGCTACTTCAATGTTTAAGCAAAAGAAAGGAGACAGGCTGGTTAATTAAATTAAAATTAGAGATGCCAGACAAAAATCTGTTAGTAGAAATATGGAGCTTTTTAAGCTAAAAATGGCAACAAATTGTAAGTTTATACAAGTTAGTATTATAAAGCAAGAAGCTTTAGAAAACATAGTTTCTTCTTCTTTACTAATTAAAAAAATGGGCTTCCCAGAGGACCATGACTCCTAGTTAGATCTTAAAATGAACATGTTTTCTTATCTAACTGACACAATCAGACTGCAGAGCTTCTACATATCTTGAAATGTTGTTTCTGGCATCATTATATTAGTAAAGCGGTTCGTAAATCTTTTTAAACAGAGCACAGAGAGAAATAGGGAGAGCTGCAGATTTAAAGGTAAAACAGATTTACTGGGATATGCAACATGCAATAAAATCTATCTCCAAGTTTACCAGAATGTTTACCAGAACAAAATATGCTATTCTATATTTAAAATCAGCATATCTATATTTTTCTGGAAGGATGAAATTGAAATTGTACGTTCTACGAATGCATGATATATAGGGGTGGGTATGCCAAAGAAGTCACGATGCGATTCTACCGCGATGCATCCCGATACTTGAATTATTGCGATGCATTGCAATATTTTCTCCTCCATGTTTTGTTTTTGAATGACTCGGCGCAGTATCCCACGGCCGGAAATGCTTGTGACACAAGGCAGCGACATCTACTGGACTGGAAGTTGTATTACACTTGTTTTTGGCTGATGTTCGCCAACCATTCATGCAATTTTGTTCATTAATTTTTTTAAATTAATAATCGATACTTGGCATCAAGAATCGATGCAGTAGATCACGAAAATTAGAATCACGATGCATCATCATCACGATTATTTTGCACACCCCTAATGATATATCAATTTTGCCATCAGAGTCGGCTGTTATACATTATTTTTCTATACATAAATATTTCTGGGTCCTATATTTATGTAATGCACTAAAAGGCATCTCTCTAACTACCTATAAACATAAAAATTAGTGTATTATGGTTCTCAACAATAGGAAAGCATTCAATAAATGGATGTTTGAGCTCATTTTTGCTCAGGTCGGAGTAACTGTAGGTCCACCAACCAACCAACTTTCTTTACAAAGTTAAGCCCTTGCAGCCGGCTGTCCAGGAAACGCCAGATTTACTCACTTTATAGCAGTTTTTATAACATCCGTCAGCTGATCTCTAGCCCTAAAGAGAGGAAGAAACGGGGTCACATATCTGCAGTAACATCCTCTCCTGAGAACAATCCTTTTCACATGAAGCTTTCAGCAGGTTTTCTCTCAGGGTTTAGCTTCCTCGTGTTAAAAGATGAAAAACAAACAGAGAATATTTTCTTTTTAATGCAACGAAGCGAAGTCTTTATCGTCGTGAGGGATTCCTACCACAGCCAGGCACAGTGCTGTTTGTACTGCAGCTCCTGGGGCTCCTCTTTGCCTTGTTTCTGCTGCATTTCCAGATCAGCCCGTCGGCCCTGAAAGTTCCAAACTGCAGCTTTAGGTACTCATTATATGATCCGTTTCACTCTTTATCTGCAAACTGTGTTATTTCAGAACAAGAGGAGCTGAAGGATGTCAGACCTGAAGGACAGCGTGGAAGGATCGGCTCATGAAGCCCCTCCACGCCTGGGGGAGCAGCAGGGCACGGTGCCACTCAGAGGGCTGGATGTTCACCTGTAAGGAACCGGTGAAAAACATGAGCAGGTTTCTATCTGTGCTCTAATGCTACATTC